TATCAAATATACTCTATAATTGATCATTTGACTGTCAAACGTTGTTGAGCAATAATATTCGATCGCAGCATTGTTGATTTTGGCTGTCAATACTCTTCAACGTATCCAGTAAACAGTATATGATACAGAATGAGAAATTGATTCAAACTGTGAAGTGAAATGAGGCGAAGTTAATGAGAAAAACTTATCAGGAGAACGATATTCGCATGAAAAAGCTATGAGAGTGAATATAACACGTCTGAAATGAATGAGAATTCGTCTAAATCAGTTTGAAGTTAGTGTGTCAATGGCTTTTCATGCAACCATAATCAATTGCATTAATAAGCAACATAACGGTCCAAGGGATGGCCTAGCCATGCCAAGTACCATCATAATGTTCTTGCATGAGAGGAAAACGGCAGCTTGCCAGATCATCAAAGGAGTAATGAAGCACCCCAACGTGAGAACCGCCATTGCCTTATACAATTGATCACATTCAGAACGTGGCCGATTTGATACGATATCACAACCGTAAACGCTATCCAGTTTCAAAGAGAGGCATCATCCTTTACACGTGGATTCAGCGACAGCAATGGCAACTCCATTATGATCAGGTAAAATCNGAGAGAGAGCGTAAGAGTGCCATTTTTAGGTCCGATTAATTGATCATATGGGACCATATAGTTGTGGTGATTTATATAGAGGTAAATTGACGAAAGGCATTCTGAACAAAGATGTGACAGTTGCAGTGGAAACGTTCAGGCCTGAAACTAGAATGGATCCAGATTCGAAGTTAGTTATCACTATTCAGCTAAAGGATGCCACTACTTTTCTATTCAGATATCGAGAATCTCATTGAAAATATTTTACCTTTTGGTAGAGGTGCAATCTCATGTTATTATCTCCGAAGATCTCTCGTCCTCTATATCACCACTTGCTACTATTTTTATTCAATCTTCTGCAGAACTGCGCAATAACTAATATTATACTTCAAAACATTTATTTATCTAAGCTCAGTCTACACTCTTGATCTTAATTTCTTTGACTTTGGAATCATGTTGGATATTGCTTTCAGAATCAAATTCTTGCGTGAGTCTAATCAAATGCTTGCGTTGAAGCATAAAAACGTGATTCGCTTATATGGTGTTTGCACGCAGAAGTTGCCAATATTAATCGTTAGAGAATTTGCTCCAGGTAGTTGTCCACTTCAAGAAGTACTATTGCAAAATAAGTTGCAATTCGTCCAGCTATCTCGTAGATATCAACTAGAAAAATATTCGTTTACACAGCCATCAAAATATTTGCTATGTCGATAACAACAGCAATAATTTTTACCTCCTCAAAAGTCTGCAAACAACCAACAGCCAACAACAAGAATTCCAGTTTGGAATTCATGAATGTGTTTTTTTAGGGGGAAGTTTATTGGATCGTATTCGTAATTTGGAGGTTGCACTCTCACTCGAAGACAAACAACGATATTGCAGGCATATAGCTTATGGAATGGAGTATCTTTCTAATGAACGAGTGCATTTTCCTGATCTTTCGCACATTTCCAGACCACTTTGAAGCATTTCCATTGAATAGAGTCCGGAAAATTTTCGTCATTCATAAGCATTTACCATAATATCCCACACTTTGATAGTGTTGCTATTAAGTGAACAGAGGAAAC